CAGAATGGTAGCCGTAATATTAAGGAGGTGTAAATTGTAAAATAATTAACATTTATACGGTTATAAGTGACCAGAATGGTAGCCGTAATATTAAGGAGGTGTAAATTGTAAAATAATTAACATTTATACGATTAGAAGTGACCAAAATGGTGCCGGCAATATTATCAAGGTGTAAATTGTAAAATAATTAAGATTTATACGATTAGAAGTGACCAAAATGGTAGCCGTAATATTAAAGAGGTGTAAATTGTAAAATAACGAGTACACTTAGCCCATTTAATATAAACGCATTTTACTCGATCGTTACATATAAAGAGGTTTACTTGTACCTAATGTATTTTGCATTTAAACATCAAAACAATAGACCGGATATAAATCAAAACAAAACTTTAATCCCTTTATATCTATATCTATGAGTTATGTGTGTATCGTTACATATAAAGAGGTTTACTTGTACCTAATGTATTTTGCATTTAAACATCAAAACAATAGACCGGATATAAATCAAAACAAAACTTTAATCCCTTTATATCTATATCTATGAGTTATGTGTGTATATATTAGTCGTGCGAGTGTGAGAGAGTAAATGCTATGCACCTACAGTGAAAACACCACTTGAAAACAAACTCTGTCCCCTTCTATATGCAAATCCTATGGCAAACCCCTCCCAACCCCTGGTTGTGTAACGGTTTTGTGTGTAACGCTCTTTACTTTTGAAATGAAATCTTGTTAAATGTAAAATAGTATGATTAACATTTATACGGTTATAAGTGACCAAAATGGTAGCCGTAATTTTAATGAGGTGTAAATTGTAAAATAATTAAGATCTAATACTGTTATAGTTGGCAAAAATGGTTGAACATGTTTATGAAGGTACACTTAGTAGAATCGTTAAGATCTATACAATTATAAGTGACCAAAATGGTAGCCGTAATTTTCTAAAAGTGTAAATTGTAAAATCATGAATGATTCCATAATCCACATTATTCATCGCTGGATTGTTGTTAAAAAGTTTACGCTTAAAGGGTTTAATGATTTTAAGTATTTAAAAATCATCTCTCATTTGAAAATTTTTTCCCAAACGCCAAACAAATGACATTTTTGTGTTTAGAAATCAATGAAATGAATGACAACTCATTCAAAGACTGCCATCTCTTTGCGCCACAACTCGAGACCATTCATATCAGTACCAGTCGTGAAGTCCTGAATGATGTGACTATAGATTACATCTCAAGACTACCGAAGTTGTGGTCATTAAAAATGAGTAGAGCTGTTGTAAGCGATGAATGCGTTCATAATCTTGTGATGAATTGTCCGACAATTGAATTGATATCACTTTCGGAGCAAAAGAGTGACCAACAGATGGATAAACGGATTAATCTCTCGGACAGTGATATGCAAGCCGTCCGCCAAAAAAGAAAATACTATAAATTTAATACAAATATATTTTAATTTCATAAGATTTTCAAAATATTTTCTTAATATTTTTTAATTTGTATTAAAGTAAAATAAAAATGAAAAATGTTGAAAAATGATTTCATCAATGTGTTAAAAATTAAATTTTCAAAATACATTGATTAAACGCAGAGACTATCCATTCTTTGAGCACTACCTAAATTGTGGTTAACTTATAGCATCGCTGTGTGTGTGAGTTGTTTTTGTTGTAACACAATTTTTGTTATATTTAAGAATAATGTATATGTCAACTTTATAATATAAGATTAATACTGTATAAGACTTAATGACCATATATTTTAGAATCGTTACAAACATATCACTGAATTAATGAGCATTTTATTAATAATAAACTAAAATTTAAATGAATTCAAAACGTATTTTACATAAAATAATTGTAAGATTTGGATAAAAAGACATTTTTGCAAAAAACAATTGAAAAACAAATGCAATGTTAAATGAGACCAAAAGACAATAAACTATCGATTATACGATCGAACGGACGCGTGATCTTCAAGTCCGCGATCGAGATCTGGTTTAACACCGGCGCCAGTCTTAGGGCCAGACTTCGCACCGGACTTAGGGCTCGCTTTAGGCTTTGATTGTTTGCTACTACAGGCTATGACTATCACTCCTATGATCGCCACCACTATAACCAATACCACGATTATAACGATCACCAAAACTGATTTATTGCCGCCGACTGTGGACTTTGGTGTGGATGTGGAAGGATTTGATGTGGATGTGGGTCTGGAAGGAGGGCTTGTCGTTGGTTTGGCTTTATATTGGGAACAATTGGCATACACTGTGTAGTTGTCCGGGTGTTGACACTTGATATGCAATACAAAGTGTTAAATATATAATTATCACAATAGATATCATGTCTAACCTCTGAATGAAAGAGACTGTTATTTGAATGACAATAAGAGATCACTTTATCCTCGTTATAGAGAAACAAATAGTGAGTAATTAAAGTCTTATTAGTGTCGAAGAGATTGAACACAAATACAGCAATCAGTGGCCGATTGGTCTCCGGACTCGTAAGACTGGTCAGCGGTTGTGCGGCTTTCGGGTCGTTATCGGCAGTCATTTTGGATTGAATGCCTTTAATCACACGATCGGTACTTATGGTTGGCTTCAACTGATCGTCAAACTCATAGCACCGGTACTCTCGTCGGTACGAGCCTTTGGAGACAGAGGTCTGGGCGGCGAAACACACGTCATTGACATCATGACCGACAATACTGGCGTAGAAAGCGAGTGAAGGGTTAAAGTCTTGGCCGAAATCAATGGATCCATTCTTCCACTGATCGCCGGAACTCTTCTTCTCCAACTCATAGCCCTTGAGATTCATTGCCATCCAATCTATTGAAGATTTCTGTCGTGAATATTAAATACAATTTAAAAATTAACTAATTTTTGAAAGGTTTAGGGATTCGGCAGTGAATTACATGATATATCAAACCCGTTATCCACTCCTGTTTTCCGGTGCCATAAGGGATGGCGAAAGCCATCGAGTATTTCTCGTGTGGAAACCAATCGGAAACAACACTTGCGGTTTGAGCCGTGATCTTAACGCTCGTCAACTGACCCGTCGCTCCCAACCCTTCAACCAAAACGTGCCAATAGTCGCGGCCAATAAACAGAAAGCTATTGTAGTCACGACCGGCCGATGGGTTACTGTACGCAAAGTCTATGACATTGTTATTATCAACAAATGCCTGACAAAAGTCCGCTCCATACACTGGACTCAGGGATGTGATGGTCAGGGATGTGATCACAAGTGATATAATCATTATTTCAGATACTATTCTTGTAATTCAATTGGAATTCAAAACTGCTTTCGAGTTAAAGACAAAGATTTGATTGTTTTGTAAATTGATATCAATTTATATTTACAACGGTTTTCAATGAAACGGACAATTGTTTTAAACGTATACTAAATGTATCACTATTTGTAAAATATTAAATTCAAATAACAATACTGTCACACTTGTTATAATTTTTCAATTGAATGCACTTAGTTAATTGTTTAAATTATTAAAATAAAAATAATTCCAAATATATTTGTAACAATTGATATTAAAAGTAAAAACTAAAAAGTTATAAAATTTTATTTAAAATTATTGAGATCTTAAGTAACAAAAAATTATGAAATGAATTTAATTTTAATAGTTATGCATATATTTTCATATAAATTAAATTAAGACAATAATTGTTACTAAACAAAAATAATAATTATTATTATAAGAATATAAATAACAAGATAATAAATAATTGAAAAAATTAGTCATTAATAAATCACTATTTGATTGCTTTGAGTATTCAATGTAATTATTTTTAATCAGTTTGTTATAACTCCGGTGACGATGTCTGGCGTTCAGCCATTTCATCTGATCTGTTGGCCAGTCCTTTATCAACACTACTATCACTCCTACGTCTGGCCTTTGGGACAGACTGTGGGTTCGGTCTAACAGTACAGTCCCGATAGGAAAGGGCGCCGAACACAACCACTTCCAGGATTAACACCAATAATAACAATAATATAATTATCCGAAGTATTGTAGTCATGGTATCGCTCTTCTCGTCCCCGCTCTGTGAGGAAGGGAAGCCCGTTGTGGAGGAGTTGGGAGAAGGGGAGGGAGAGGGCGACGGGTATGTAGATGAGGAGCCAGTAGTGGTGGAAGAGTGCGTTGAAAGGGCCGTATACTGGGAACAGTTTACCAACATTGTGTAGTTGTCCGGGTATTGGCACTTATAATGCAAAACTTGTGTTAATTTTATAATTATCATAATTGTTATACAGTATAGTAATGGCTAACCTCTCGATGAAATAGATTATCATCTGAATAACAATAAGAGATCACTTTATTATTGTTGTATACAAACAAGTAGTGATCGATTAGGATTTGATTGGGGCTTAAGATGTTGAACACAAATATAGCAATGAGTGGCCGATCGGTCTCCGGACCCGTAATACTGGTCATCGTTTGTGCGCCACTATTACCCGTCATTTTGGTTATAATAGCTTTGATCACACGATCGTTGCTTATCGCTGGTGTCAACTGATTGTCAAACCCATAGCACCGGTACTCTCGTCGATAATGACCACCGGATTGGGAGGTCTGAGCGGCGAAACAGACGTCACTCACGTTATCGCCAACGATATCGGTGTGGAAAGCC